AATAATAAAAATAAATTAAAAAATGTATTTGTATTTAGTGAATGATTGTGGACTTTATTTTTATTAACTACAGTAGAGTTAAGATTTTAGAAATATTTAAAATACTTATTTATTAAAGCGTAGAGTCCTTGTAGAGTTTATACAGACGTGTAAAATTATTTATAAATGTAAAGTCAATAATACATATACCTATCAAAGTATCTCCCCAGATTTAAAATCATATGGGGTTGTATTATTTATTGATTTCCCAAAATATTAGGTCAATAAACCTAGCAGTCCCATATGGAAAAAAACGAAGGGATTGCTAGGTTAATATGAAATATAGCAGTCCCCTGTAGTGAAAAATATTTTTTTAAATTTTTCTTTGGTATCAGAATTTAGATAATATGCTTTTTAAAGTTCTCCTAAATACCTGGTCAAAGAAAAAATTGAATCAGTTAATTATTAACTGAATTACAGATTTTTTTTCAATATTAGGAAATTCCTGGATTCAGGTTTACTTATTGGGGGTGTGTTAGAGGCTTACAGCCAATTTCATAATCAACTTAAAGTAAACTTTAAATATAAAGGTCCATTTGAAGTAGAAAAATCCCATCCTAAAAGTCTATTTAGCTAAAGTAACTTTTAATTCTCTATCATGAAATTGGCCGTTAAACCGTTAAAGGCTGAAATGTTTTTGGATTGAATTTAGGTACCTACTATTTAAGTGCTCCTAAATTGTCAAAGAAACACTTGAATCTGTTAATTATTAACTGAATTACAGTTTTTTTTCATTATTGGCAAATTATTGGCTTCACGTTCAGTTGGTGGTGTGTCAGAGCTAAAATGTTTATGGATAGGAATTAGTGCTATTTAAGTGCTTCTCAATATTTGAAGAAAAACTTGAATCAGTTAATTATTAAACTGAAGTACAAATTTTTTTTCATTAAGGAATTGCTGGCTTTACATTTACTTGGGGATGTATTTGCATTGCAGCGAATCTGAAAACTGCGACTAAAATGTTGTATTGGAATTTGGTGCTATTTAAGTGCTCCCAAAAAGTTGAAGTTTTAGATAGTTCAAGTTTTTCTTCGACTATTCAGGAGCACTAAGATAGCACCTAATTCCAATTATTACAACATTATAGCCACTGTTATCAGTGTTATCAGTTTCGCTGCAAATATTTACACCCCCAAGTAAACGTAAGGCCAGTAGTTCAGTTCCCTATAATAATACAAAAAAAATCTATAATTCAAATAATATAACTAATTCATGTTTTTCTTTGACTATTTAGGAGCACTTGAGCACCTAAGTCCTATCCAGAAAAAATTTAGCTTTTAACCACCAACTAGTTAAACGTGAAGCCAACAATTTCCATTTCCTAATAATGAGAAAAAATCTCTATTTAGTTTAATGATTAACTGAACAAATTTTTTTTGACTATTTGGAAACACTTGCATAGCAAGAATCATAAACTATAGGATTGCTTTTCCTTATAAGGCGTACGTTCGCCAATTCTCGAGTCGGCAAGGCCTGCGAGTGACGTTAGTACTATTAGCAGCATAGCCTCTTATAGTGGTGACGTCACCCGCAAGCCTCGATGGGATGCTTGCGATTCAGGTTGTGCTTGTTTCTTCATCGATTTTAAATGTAGAAAAGGTGATTCCTGGTAATGAAAAAAATCTGAATGACTGTTCTTCTTCGACTATTTAGGAGCACTTGGATAGCTTATTTGCTAATTCCTATCCAGAAACTAGCTTCTGCACACAGTGGCTTTACACTCGGTAAACTCCGAGCAGTCCGAGCGCGCTCGAAACATTAAGATAGCGAAAATAGAATTCAACTTCTGGAATCTCTTTCTCAGTGAAAATGTTCTATCTTTGATTGTTGAGTACCCGAATCAATACATAGAAATTGTAAAACCGAAATTCATCAGATGGTTCAATTTTTTTATCAATGATTTAGTATATGTATCTCTGTGATACAGCGTGACTAATGATGTTATAAAACTCGCGATGGAAGGTTAAAATAAATTAATATTTAACCAATAAAATATTAAAAGTTAAAATTTTCCATTTTTAAAGTAAACAAAACACCACACCCACTCAATACTTGAAAAATATCGAAATAGAATTCTATTTTCTATTTTAAATACCCGCCAGATGGAGAGGGAACGGCAACGCTGTACCCATTTGCGCTACAACAACTGCATTCGTTTCGATGAGGGTCATACTCCGGTCGGACTTCGGCTCGTCCGACGTTCCCGCCCGAAGGCGACTTCGGGTGGGTAGAGCAAATGAACATTAGCACAAATGGGGTGATCCCATGCACAGTAGCACAAATGGAGCCATCTCGTTGAAAACATATTTAAATAGACTTCGCATAAACAAAAACACCATCTTCATTGAGGTTATGGTAAATACCAGTTTATCCTAGCGACCGGCTTACCGTAATTTGACATTTGACATAATAACCGCTGGTATTTACCACAATCTCGCTCGGACAGGCCAATTGTGTATTGTTGCAATTTAGTATTTTTATGGGCATTATTGACGAAAGAGTGGATAGAAACACACCAATATATTGCCCATATTTAGTTGATACCTGTTCCTTTGTGCTTTGATTGCAAATTTTTAGCAAATGGGTACAGGAGCAAAAATGAAGGTAAGGTAAAATAAAACAATAAAAACAATATTAATATTTGTCTGCAAGAGCATAGGTCTCGATATATTACCTAAGATATTTAAACTTGTTCCAGATGCCATGAAACTACTGTGTTCCTGGGTGCAAATCGAACTATTAGGAGTTCCTTAAAAACTGAAGAAATGCAAACATTTTTATTTCCAAAAAAATTCTGAAGTGCAAAAAATGTGGATGAAAGCAATACACCAAGATAATTATACCCGAGATTATACAATAACGAAAAATTCTGTGGTGTGTTGTAAACATTTTGAAGAAACCGGAATAATTAGATTTGAAACAAACAAGGATAAAGGCGTAGTTCGAGAGTTCAAACTAAAACGTCCAACTCTTAAAAGTAGGTACCTCTTATTTTCGAAAATCAGCTCAAGTATTTGAATGGACTTGCCTTCCGAAAAAATCCCGAAGAAAGAAAAAGTTAGATTTTCAAAAGACATACTGATACATAGGCCTATAACACTTTAGACTCTAGAAATATATTCATTTAAATCAGTTATTTACTGTTCTTATTTACACAAATAGTTAAATTATTCATTGAATTACTGTTTTTGGCCCTTTAGTACAATAAATTAAGTATTTTTTGTGATTGATATTAATAAAATAAAAAATATATATTTATACAAACACCACCAGCACCACTTGGCGGTAAGATTGCGGTGTTGCCTTATTAACTTCATGGCTTGTTAAATGTAGGGGGCTGTGGTTATGCAAAACCGTGTGTGACGGTCTCTCTCTAGCCTGTCTCGACTCGAGAGATGCTATACCGTCACAGCAACGAATTTCCTTTCCGAGGCAACTGTTTTAATATTAAAAAACGCGTAACTTTTTTAATATTTATCCAATTAAGCTGAAATTTTTTCTTCGTGCTATATGTGAGTAATGCTCCATAAAAATGTGAAAACCCGTGCTAATGAAATTTCATTGAACGAGCGAGCCTATTGTTTACGTTACCCGCATTCATCCAGCTGACCATTTTTAGCACGCAACCGAGCTTTTGCGCGCGCAAGTGCTTCAAGCGCGTGTTCGTGTTCCAGTCGTACTGCGCTTCGAGAGCTGCTAACTTTTGCGTTTCAAGCACAGAACACTGTGCTGCACTGTGCTTGAAGCACACAGTTGGAAAGCAGCTCTAGTCATTAGCCGCCTTCCAGCTGTGTGCTTCAAACACGGTGCAGCACCAGTGTTCTGTGTTTGAAACGCAAAAGTTAGCAGCTCTCGAAGCTCAGTACGGCTGGAACACGAACACGCGCTTGAAGCATTTGCACGCGCAAAAGCTCGATTTCGTGCTCAAAATGGTCGTCAACTGGAAAGCGGCTACTGGCTAGTCTACAGGCACATCACTGAGCATATTACCAATGGTATTTTGGGCCTTAGGGTCAGCTGTTTAACGTCTATTTTGAAACAGGCCAACAGGCTGAAAAAGAGGTTCGAAATGATTGAACCGTTTCCGTCTATGACTGACTTCACCGTTGCAAATGCAGCATTTCACCAAAAAAAGACGTCTTATGTTGAGGCACTCCAGGTGACGTTGTAAAGTTATCAGGCAACCTAACAACTTTGCATAAATCCAAAAATCGATGCCGATGACCAAATCCTCAGCAATCCTGTAGTAGTGTTTAATTTCCTTGCATTTGCACGAGTTTTTTTGGCTTCACACGGTGCACTCCGTGTCACGTTATCTCACGTAAGAAACTTTTGCACTTTAAACAACACGACCATCTTTTCGGATGCCAAAAGCAGTACCTATAGTGGATCCAAAACTAATGGCCGTTTGCCCCGACCATTTTAAGGGAGATTTAACAATAATCAACGAAAAGTGTTCATTAACACTCAAGCTCGAACTCACCATTTAAATGCCCAAAAGCCGCGCATCTGTTCCTTTCAAATTGGGGTCGACTGTTATCCAAGTGTCAAAAGAGGCTTTCGTTTGTATCAGACCTGCTCCGAGCAATTCCATTCCCACTCTGAAGAGTCTCAAGGCAGACGAACGGCGTTCTTGGAACAGAGCGTTTGTTTGTTGTTCACATCATGCAAGTGCCAAGTATCGTCCCTTTGTCATAATCAAGCAAAAATAAAAACCAAAAACTTCTTGTAGAAATTAAATATTGTCCTTTGTTATATGTTAAATTAACACAATAATAATTACCCTTAGACATTCCTCGCTTCTGTGATCATTTGTGAGTTTTTTTTTCCAAACACAAGTATTTTGTTTTTATATTAAGCTACTAGTACAATAGCTGCAAAGGCTATTCAATTGATAGTGAAGTTTTCTCATAATGTGCTAAAAGATTAATAACAATTAACTACAACTAAAAAGTTTTAAAATGGTGAAACTCTATTGCATTAGCATTCTTTACAAAGGCCCTACATCAGCTACATGGTTAAAATCAGCCTATGACCTACAAAGTTTCAGCTACTTTCAAAGAGGCTCTGTGCAAGAATTCATGTTGTTTTGTGCTAAAACCATTGCTGAAAGGACAATACCAGCTTCAAGGCAATCTGTAAAAGAAGGCGAATACTTTTGTCATGTGTATGTAAGAGCTGACAACTTAGCAGGAGTTATTATTTCAGACCAAGAGTATCCTTCAAGAGTATCTCATACGTTGCTCACCAAAATCCTCGATGATTTTGCTGATAAAATCCCTTCTACCAGTTGGCCTAATTTACAAGAAAGAGATGTGGCTTTTCCGCAAATAAATACCTATTTAGCCAAATACCAGAAGCCAGCCGAGGCAGATATATTGACAAAAATCCAAGGAGAATTGGATGAAACTAAAATTATATTGCACAATAACATTGCAGCTGTTTTGGATAGGGGCGAAAAGTTGGACGACCTAGTTTCCAAGTCTGAAGGTTTGAGTATACAATCGAAAGCTTTTTATAAAACTGCAAGGAAAACTAATGCTTGCTGTAGTTTTTCTTAAAAATGTCTATAGGTATTTAGTACAACATCCATTATTGAAATTATCTGGATTGGCCTGATTTTGTATGGATTGTTGAAACAAATATTTTTAAGTGTTACTTACTGCTAATGTATGCATGCAGTGCAGAGTAAATAATTATTATTGTTAATGTTGTGAACCCATTATTGAAAAAAGTATAGTAGGCATTTATGGACAAGGAAAATACATAGTACATATATTTATATTTATTTGAATTGTCATTTTGATTTTTTATTTTTTTGGTCTGCCCTTAATTGTGTCTATTCTATTCCAGAAAAATATATTTAGGTAGAGTATGAGCACAGCATGTATGAGCATGATTGTCCATAGGTATCTGGATTACTTAGAACTAACAATAACTATCAGTGTGGGCCGTTGAGCTTAAAATTTCCAGAGTTTGTAAACCACTAGTTTTTATTTTGTTAATAAGAAAATAGGTTGTTGAAAAAAAAAAAGCAAATTAAAACATTTGGGCCAACCTTCCTTTAGCTAAAATCAGATATTATATCGACACATATATTTTTTCTTTCTAAAAAAAAAATTATTGGCAAAACGGTAAAGAATAACCTCAATAATAACCAAATTAAACTCAGTATTTCGATGCTTATCAGATTTTTGTTAATATTTTAAGGGCCGCATACACTACGATGAACCACGACGGTTTTCATCGCCACGGTGAAACAGCGTTCTAAAACCAAAGTGTGTGGTAGAAAGCTGTCGTGTTTTTCTACCACACACTTCGGTTTTGGAACGACGTGTTTCATCGCGGCAATGAAAACCGTCGTGTTTCATCGTAGTGTATGGGGCCCTTTAATTGTATAAATTGGAACTGTTCTGCACTAGAAAAAGTTTATCAAAAGATGTACTGTAATTCTTCTTCTTTTTCCTGTTTACCAATGGCCCCTTGTCGTTAAACAACAGTCAGCCAGACCAGAATCCTATCACTTGTGTCCCCTAGTGCATCGGGCACTTGCCAACAGTTTAGGTTTCAATTGGGAATGAGTAGGTAATTTTTTGCTGTGGCGTATACAGAGGTGTATTTGGAAAAGCCAGAGAAATAGGAGCATACAGGATATGTGTCTACAAAAATGAACATACGAACTACTGCTTATTTTCAGATTCTTACATCAAATTTCTTGATACAATCCATAACCATCTCTGCTTCCCTGCTTGTTGGATTTGCAAGAATTTCTTCCATCTGTATCGGTCTTCCTACCATCTTGTTCAGTCTTGAATCTGTTGGACCTCTGTTCAGCTCACAGTTCAAGAGCACATAATTAATATCACCCACTTTACCACATTCACAATATTCGTTGTCCTGCATGCGAAGTTTGTATTTGTATTTAGATGTGAGGCAATTTGTAGTTCTGATTCTGCAAAAGACACTAGTTTAATTTTTGCAAACCCTGGTGTTCTTTGGGGTTTCGTCGTTAATTTGTAGTATTGGCTTGAATGATTTCTACCTTTATTGTTAAATTCCACAGCCCATTACCTCCATGTCTCTTCCTTAGCTACTCTGAATAAATCATCATAGTGTATTGTTCTGTTGATAGCATTATTTGCCTCGCCTCTTCCAGCAAGTCTATCTGCCTTTTCATTTCCTGTTATGCCTGTATAACAAGGCACCCACAGTATTTTGATTTCCTTTCTTCCATCCTGCATATCTAATATATTCTTCCTCGTTCTCAATGTGATTCTATCAGTCCCTCTCTTAATGCCATCTCTGACAATTTTCAAAACAGGACTTAGAATACGATATCAAAACAGCTTTTCCTGTGTCAATCTCTAACGTATTGAGGGCCATATAGGGCTAGCACCTCCGCTGAACAAATGTTGGTTAGATTCTGGCATTTTCCTATTATTGAGATTATCTGTATATATTTTTTCATGGTCCGAGTATTCCTCCAACAACTCCTGTAATAAGAGTTGACCATCTGGATTGAACTTTTGTATATTCGAATCCACCCAGTCTATTTTCCGCAGTTGAGTTGCCATATCCTCTCCGAAACATAGCAGATTGTTCATTCTTTCCAATATTCCTATGTGGGCCAACACATAAGTAATCCACCCTCTTCATCACCGCCGGAGCGCACTTGGTCCGCCAATAAGGAGGATCCTGATTGTAACAGCATAGAAGTTGAGTATCACCCTATTAGCCTCATCCCCTATAATGGCTACTTTTCTGAGCATCAACTTTGTACTAAGTAGGTTCCTTCGCTTTATCAATGGTATTTCTGCCGCTTCAGATAACATCGCCATTATGGGAGTGCTGTTCTTGCAGCGAGTCACCACTCTCAAGGCCTGGTACTGAATGCAATCCATTTTGCTAGAATTCATCTTGCTCATATGGTACATCGCTTGACAGCCATAATCAAAATGGGTTCTAACCAGCTTTTTATAAATGTTCAACAATATATTTGAGCCAGCGCCTCACCAGGTTCTTGTAATTGGTCTCATTATGTTAAGCCACGATTTCCTGAATTTGATAGGTGTACAGGGTGTCAAGTTATAAAGTACCACCACCTCTGTTAAGTACTTTTTTATTTTTAATCATCACAAAAAAAGTTACAGGTACTTTATAACTTGACACCCGGTCCATGTTGAATAACAGAGGACTCAGAGGCGAACCCCGAGGAGGTAACAACTGAACCAAAATTTTTACATGTATTGCGCATTACATGCTTCTTCAAAGTGATTCCGGTAAATACAATGTAATACAATCGTACTGGCATCAGAATGGCAGTAATTTCAGTATGGTAATGTATACCTAGATGTATACCTATATTAGGCTACATGCAGAAGATTTACCTCGAGTTTTACGTTACTGGACCAGAAAAATAAACCATTATACTTGAAAACAAACATCACATCCTATAGTTTGTACATTTATTAGTATTCTATAGGTACCTACCTACTTATTTTTCTAACGCCAGGTTTATTCATCTTGTAACTATCTGCAAGATAAATTTATCGTTCTATAATTCAATCATCAAAACACAGTGTGTTTTGATGTCATTGTTTATTAACCATTCTAGGTTAATATTTTATCCCTGGATTTATCCTGGCTCGACAGTTGAAATGGTTCTGATCCAATGATTTTTATTGGTGAGCCACAAAAAAGTTGCAATAGAATATTTATGTATTTGTTTTGATTAGGACACCCTATATATTATGTTATTTTTCGATTCTACATAAAAAAATCTTATCTTGACTTTTCAATAGCTATCTGATAATGGTGGTTCCCTCGGTGGTACCCATGGTAGTGTCGATGATGGTAGTATGGATACCAAATTTAATACCACCATTATAATAACCTTTGAGTAGCTCTCAAGTATTCAAGTTAAGACAAGAAAGTGAAACTCGTTTTCTCCTATCTTCAGTTGATTTCTTACTAATCTCACTGTAACTGGATAAAATTAGATAAAATGCTGATGAACAGTTGAATTTAGGTATATAGTCGGGGAGCTGGCGTCAAAAACATGCAAGAGTTTTCGCAAGGCGGATATTTTCAAAATAGGTCGTACTTTAGTGTTAGAATGCTAGTGTACAGTCAGCACTCACAGTTCCGGGACAGCTGGCTCTGGGACGCGGGCAAAGTTGTAATTTCAAGAAGCATCTAAACTGTTTTCTCAAAGCTCAAAATTTATAGAAATTTTGCACATTATCTGTTTGAAGGTCACAGATAACGTATGTAAATCGTCAGACGTCTAGTTCGTTGCAAAAAGGGGGTCAGACGGCCTCAAAGTTTTTATTTTATGGCATTTTCTTCGGTGTCCTGTCAAAATATATTTTTGCAGGTATTTGACAAATATATTTGAAGAAAATGCCATAAAATAAAAACTTTGAGGACGTCTGACCCCCTTTTTGCAACGAACTAGACGTCTGATGATTTACATACGTTATCTGTGACCTTAAAACAGATAATGTGCAAAATTTCTATAAGTTTTGAGCTTTGAGAAAACAGTTTAGATGCTTCTTAAAATTAAAACTTTGCCCGCGTCCCAGAGCCAGCTGTCCCGGAACTGTGAGTGCTGACTGTACACTAGCATTCTAACACTAAAGTATGACCTATTTTGAAAATATCCGCCTTGCGAAAACTCTTGCATGTTTTTGGCGCCACCTCCTGGACTAATAGCACATTATACATAAAATGTATCTAGAATTTTGCCTAGAATCCAAAAATGATACAAGGTGTGTTTTTACAGAAATCACAAACCAGAGCGTTTTTGATTGGTGCAAATCGATAACAACACACAAGTTTTCTAACTTTTTCTACCAATGAAATTCGCTCTGACTGGCTTGTGGTTTCTGTGAGAATAAATCTATAATGTATAGGGTGCCCCATTTGAAACAAATACATATTTTACAGTAACTTTTTTGTTTTTGCTTCACCCTTTATGTGTGAAATTATTTTCATTTTATAGATACACAAACTTACCCAAAGTTGTTTTTAATATTGGGGTTGGTGTTGGTAATATGAATATGATTTTCCAGTGAATTTTTGGAAAATTCCAGGGTTGAAAATCAATCGTAACTCCATTGAATGCAAGCGTAATTCGGCGATATTCGTAGGAAATGGCTGGTAATGCCAGCATAATCCCTGGTAATACCAAGTAATATCTCATGGTGGAGTAATGCCACCGTAATGCCTGTAATTCCACAGTCATGCCAGTAATGCGTCGTAATGCGTCTATGTTAGTAATGCAATAAAATCTGTACATGTATTGCCACCAGTTGTTACCCCCTTGGCGATCCCTGCGGCAACCCCATCTGTGCTTTTTGTGGACCTAAAATGACCAGATTGTCTATGGTCCATTTTCCCTTTCTAAAGCCATTCTGGACTACATTAAAATAATTGTTTTTCTCCAAGAAATGCTCTAAACGTGTCTTAACCATGCTTTCCATTAATTTACCAAGGCACGATGTCACGTATGCTTTAAAATCTTTGGGGTCTATCTTGAGTTTTTTAAGCGGAATGACGATTTAGTTTCTCCACGCCTGTGGAATACCTGTCTAAAGATTCCATTAAAAAGTTGCAACAAGGTAGTTTTCATAAAAGGCGGTAGTCTTGACAACATAGGGTGAGTAATTCCGTCTTCTCCTGACGCTGTATCCTTTTTTCCTTGAAGGACAATATCAAGCTACTCTATACCTAATTCAATGCACTCATCTTTAATCTGATTATTCACCAATACCTCTGGATTGCCGCTGACAAAGGGAGGGGCTAGCGTATTCAGTAGGTCTGTCACCCAATCTGTCTTATCTGTGTCACTATATTGTTTGAAAACTTAACTACCTTCCAGACATACCCGATTGCTGATTCTCTACTAAGTGTTTCTGTAAACTTTCTAAAGCCATCTTTCTTTTTCTTCTTTAGGATTCGTCTTGTTCTGACAGCAAGTTGCTTGCATCTCGAATACATTCTCATCGCCTCTTGTCTTTCAACTGTTATTCTGTTACAATCTTCATCCCACCAAATTGGCTTCGGGGTATATCTTGTTTTTTCTCGACCCTGAGATTCTTGGGATAGATTCTTCCGCTGCCTGATGTATTTTATCGGTAAATTCCTGATAGGTATCAATATCCTCCCTATTGTTCTCAAAGACCTGTCATATTTATCCCAGTCCGCTTTATCCGTTTTCGCAGTCTGCTTTATCCTCTTTCCATTTCCTTAATGGCTTCCTTTCCTGTTTTTGACCTATCAGTTGATTTCTAATGCAGCATACAGTCGGGAGATGGTCACTGAAACCACTCTAATCGGAAACATACCAGTTACAGCTTGTTCCCAGGTCTTGCGATATGATCACTAATATATATTCCATCAAGTACCTGCACTGCCTGCCATTAATTATTAATCTGTGAACCTATATTGAGCATTTAGATCCCCCATGATAATGAATGTAGCTTGTATTCCTCCAAAGGCATTGTGGATGTTGTTTGGGGAAAGTACGACATCTGGGGGAGAGTACGCCGTGACAATAGTAACTTCTTTAACTTTGATCCCCATAACTTGGCATTTTTGGTTGAAGTTATTATTCATGTTACATTGAGGGCGGGTATTATAAAACTATTTTGACAGATAACTAAAAGTTAACTTCTAGAATTACTATGGGATGTAACGCCATTCCAGAAGTTAACTTAAGTTATTCCTGTCAAAATAGTTTTATGATACCCGCCCTTAGTGTGGGGTATGCCTTTTTTCATCAAGCAATACCTCCTATTCCATCATCTCTATACAATCTTTGTGTTATATAGTATTTGACCTTCAAAGCATTGTCTGCCTTGAGCCATGTCTCATTAATCAATAAAACGCCCGGGTTTTCGTTATTTATTAAGATAGTCAAATCGCTGAAGTTTCTTAAAACACTCCTAATGTTCCATTGGATTATTTTCATGTTGGGTTTGTTCATCTACATTAGCGTGTGCATCTTCCTGGGTTGTATTCTGGATTTCTTCCATAATTACATCTTTCACTTCCTGAGTCAAAGTTGTCTTGCCAATAAGTTGTTTTACAATAAGGTTCTAGCAGGAGCAGGAATCAGAAATTTTTTGTGCATTTCTCTGTCATACCCTGGCGAACAGGGAATTTTTCTTTTCAGGTTACATGCAGCCGAAGCATATGATGGTTTTCTTGAAGTCGTAAGGGTTGATATGTATAAATGTCTCGGATTCACTTCAATTGGTCTACTCTGGCTTCTGAAGCTCTTATAGGATTCAGAACTGGAAAGTCTCTGATCCAAGTTCTCTCTCTGTCTTATATTTTCAACTCCTTTCGGGTGTTTATTCCTAGCTTCAAAATATTAGATGTTTTCTGTTATCCTTGTAGTTTTGATTGCTTTTTGACTTAGGTACTCCTTACGTTGTCGATCAGTGATTTCATATTCCATGTTATAGTATAGGCAATTAGGTGTGCTTTGTTCACAGTCCCTTTCTTCGTGCTCCTCCGCACATATCGGACATCCTTATTTGCCTCGACACTGTTTGACCGTATGGCCATATCTTAAATATTTGAAACACATCAATACTGGACCTTATACTCTGAGATCATTACATCACAGAAATCTAGGTTTACTGACCTTGGAATCACTTTCCCTTGGAATGTAAACACCACTGATTCAGTGTTTACATAGATACTATCACCATTTTCAGTTATTCTCTTTTTAGTCTCTTTGCCTCAACAACATTTGCAACGGATTTTGTATACTCGACTATTTCCTCTTCTGATAAGCCTTTGTAAATACCTCTGGCTATTCCTTTGCAAGTGACTAGGCTAGCAGGAATGTATGTATTAAGATTTTCCTCTAATAACATTTTATTTGTTAAAAATTCGTTTGCATTAGGATAGTCAGTAAATTCTATTCCAACTCTGTTTTTACCTTTTCTGGAGGTTTTCTCCACTTCTCCTACTTTTCCATTTCTTAAAAGTCTACCAATACTCATGGGATGCATATTACCAATATTATTCTCATTTCTCATTTTTGCTTCCAACAATAACCATGTAAGGTTTAGAATCTCTGAATGTGTATGAAAAATTACTTGTCCTTTTGTTGTCCATATTTCCACTAAGTGGGGGCCCCCGGAGGCCCTTGTTTCTGGTTCTACAATCATGTGGTTGTGATACTATTTTACGTTAGAGAAAGGCAAAGCTGGAAAAAACTATACTAAGGCAAGCAGGGGTTTGACTTTTATTCTGAGGACTTACCCCCAGGTGCACTTAATTATTTTCTCTTCCACAATTAAGTATTTCCACTACCTAAACACTTTTATATTGCAAAAATAAATCGAAAATTACCGAGCTGTCACTCTCTGGTGCCAATCATTGACCTCATATAGGTACTGTAATACTTTCCAAGGATATTAAGTATTATGTTGAAAATCTAGTAAGGTTTTTCAGAAAAACAAAAAAAAATCCAACAACGAATAATTGAAATATATAGTGGAATATGTCGGTTCCATTCCTGTTCTTACTGTACCGCATTGGCGGGTGGAATACTTAAAGTAAAATATTCTTTGCAATAAGGCAAGTTTTTTCGTTACCTATTTCAGCTAAACGAATGTTGAACCCGAGATTGAACCAAGCTGTATTTGTACTCCTTATTGGGTCAAAAGTGAAAAACAAACAAAAAAAATTAGTGATTATGGCCTCCAAAATTAACTCTGATACTTATAAGTCAGGTCTCTATTAAATCTATCTATATTTTCTCTAGTAACTTTTTTTGTGATTTATTTTTCGCATCTTTATTTATTAATATTCTTTTTTGAAGGATATGATACCTGAAAACTGTGAGAATCAAATAAAATATTAACAAGCTATATTTTTAAAAATAAGCAATTTTTGATTATGTAGGTATGTATTTCTAAGTTTCAGTAATATTGAGACGAGGTACCCAAATGCTATGTCAAATGATATGTAGGTAATTTAAAAAAAAAAATTAGCAAAGGTATTTATTTAACTGAATGTCTATGCTTCGATTACTTAAAAGCAACAAGTTTCTAATAAAAAGTCTGTCACTTTAGTTTGTATAACACGGTTGAAAACTATCGTAGTTTGGATTTACTTTGAAAATTTCGCCGCCGGGTCTGTATTTGTGACAATGGATTGCTTATTCCTTTTAAGTGTTGCTCAGCCAAAAATATATTTATTGTGTAAAAATTAAATAATTGCGAGTAATTATTGTCTAATACGAATTTAATAAATAAATGATTGTATATTCATACTGTATAAGAATCCTCAGACTGGACCACTGTTGCTATATGATTGAGGCTTTTTATTTTTGTAATATGAGATTATGATGTTCTTAATGCAAATATATTTTTCGCTTGTCACAATGTCGTAGAAATACCTATGTGTAAGAAACTAAACTAACTAAAAATTTATTTATTGGATAAAATTGAGTTCTTATATATTTTTTATTACTTTCAAATGTTTAGATTTCTTTCAATCTTTTATGAAAGTTAGAACTTCCAGTCTGATGGTGTATTTAATATAGAAAAATTGTATTCCAAATGTACTGGTATAAATAAAAAAAGCCTATTTTACGAATTTTTCTGTTTATTTCTTCAAGAAAAAGTAATTTAGAAAATTCGCAATTAACAAAAAACAAAATACTCTCTCCAAAGTTGTAAAAAAAATACTCAAATAATTACATCTTATTTAATCTATTCTTCACTCTTTGCTTCAGCCTGTGTAGCTTTGTCTTTTTTATTGAGCAACATTTTAACCATCTTTTCTTCCTTTGCTTTCTTTCTAGCCTCTTTCATCGCTTTCTTCTGTTCCTTTTCTTTCTTTTCTAATAGTTCTTTGAAACGATCATCTTTTGGATCCACTGTGTAACCAAAGTGCCTTCTTACTTCTTCTATTAACCTATCTTTACGCATCTGAAATAAAATACATAATTGAATAATATTGATCGCAATGATTATAGAAAATGATAATTGATCAGGAAAATTTTAAAAAATTGTACATTTTGTTTAGTTCCCTCATCTCCGCATCATCAATTACTGGAAAATATTATTATATAATTACAAATGAGTAAATATTAGGTCAGGCAGCTTTAATAATCCCAGTTGACAATAATTTTTCTTGATGGATTCCTAAGCTTTTTTTGGCTTTAACCTTTTGTTAAATTGAATCAAAACAGCCTAATATTACACACTTGCAAGACTTAGGTCGGAGTTACCCAATTCCTTAATTCTTAATATTTGTCCCTAATTCTTAATTCTCAAAAAGTTCAATTTATTTAACATTGGTATTTTTGAGGATTAAGAATTAAGAACCAAAATTAAGAATTAAGGAATTGGATAATTGGAAAATATTAGCCAGTTCATTCGGAAAAAATTTCAAGAATAATACTTATTAAATTTTCAAAATTATATAAAACTACAACTTCAAGAAATAGAAACTAACTAATAATATTTATAAAAGAACATATTGTGAATCTATTGACGGTCGGTTATCTAGATTTCTACAACTTGCTTCGCAATAACTGCATAAAGGAAACATGGTAAGAAAAATATTGAAAATAAGATTACTACTACTGTGATAAGGAAATATGACTGTGCATTACAAACTTGAAAAGTACCTTAAAACAGAAAGAGGTACCCTAGGTGTTGTAATCTAAAGAACATCTCAGTCTTTTTACTTAAGCTTTTTACCCCTTTCAAAATAAATAAAGAAGCGAAAAAGCCCAAGCAAAAAAATAATTATTAAAAATGTACAAAAATGTTCTACTGCAATGAGTTAATTACACCACTGGTTGATGAATATTTGAACCATCGCCTTGACTGAATATTATATGGGTATTGGGTAACCTTCTACTTTCTATTTTCATTAAATCTCAAACTAACTGTGAAAAATTTCTAAAAATATCTTAGACAAGATACTGTACTATTGTATTTTATAATACCAAGACAAAGATATAAACTCGAGTATTGAACCGGTGTTATTATTTTTTCTATTTGCAATAAAAACAAGATGTTTTGCAAATCAAACAAAAAAAAGTCGTCGCAAAACTATTCTAGTCGTGCGTTTTAATGAATTAATTGAGCGACAGAAAAGTGGTTGATACAGAAACAGATTTGAAGTTTAGTTGGGTAAGTCAAATCAAAATTTACTGAATTAATTGTAGCTGTGGTATAGATACAATTACATAGTTGAAAAAAGATACTTTCAGTGTAATAATAATCGCTCTCGAAATCACATTGCGCTTACTAGAATGAATAATTATTTATAGATTTAAAATTGGATTCTTACCTTTGCCTGCATAGCTTCACTTTCCTTCTTCTCAATCTTACTATGCAATTCCTCCTTCCACTGTTCCAATTTCTCCATTTTCTTAGCGATGTCTTGTTGCCTTTGCATTGCCATTTTGTCTTTTTCTTCTCTCTTAGCTGCAGCTTCTTTCATCATTTGTGGAACAGTGAAGGGATATTTAACTTTTTCGTATTCGATTGCATCCTGCAGTTCTTCCTGTAAAGAATAAGACCAGAATTATAAAACAAATTGAATTATTGTTGATACAGTCAGATAAATAATTTTAATTATTATTAAAATTTGCAGTTAGATAATGGATTTAAAAAAATTATTTATAAAAGTAAGTAGGAACCTCTGTTTTTTTTTTCACTATTTAGGAGGTTGCGCGTACGAAATATTCGGCAAGTGTCACACTCGGAAGAATAAAAAAAAAGACCCTTTATTTCGTCCTTTAGGTACATTTGTACAAAAATCTTTCACAAGTAACAGTAGGTATAACCGGGGGTATAACATTAATAATTAATTCATAGATGAGCAAATTATGTCGATTGCCGTGATAAATTGCTTATTAAAAAAATTTATCAATTAAAATTACAAATTTCTATTTATGGAAAACAATACGGAATGATTTTTAATCTTGAAACAAAGGTACATATACAGGGTGTCCATTTTTCGGTTAATTTAGGGCAAAGTTGCTCAAGTTTTTGCTCATAATGCAGCATAACATTCGATACATACCGGGTTCCCCACGAGATTACTTTCCGGCTGTTCTTTTTAACACGCTTATATTAGCTTCACTTGTATGTATGTATGTATGTATGTTTGTTTGTATGTTATGTTTGTAAGTAACATTGAAAATGTTTATCGCACGGGCACATAGGAATGCGTGCGAACTTTTGGACCCTTGGGAAGTGTATGAACAAGAACCTGGAACAAGCCAAGTGAGCTGGAACAGGTCTGGATAAATCTGGATAAAGCCTGGAAAAGTCTGGAAAATGTCTGGAAACGTCTGGAAAGAGCCTGGAAATTTCTGGAAAGGGTCGGAAAAATTCTGCCAAAGGTCCCAAAAGATCTGGGGATCATTTTCCAGAATCCGGATCAGTCTGTACAAGTCTGGATAAATCTGGATAGAGTCTGTAAAACTCTGGATAAGTCTGGATATTGTCTGGAAATCTCTGGAAACGTCTGGAAAAGACTTGGAAATTTCTGGAAAGGGTCGGAAAAATTCTGGAAAAGGTCCCAATAGACCTGGGGATCATTTTCTAGAATCAGGATCGGTCTGAAAAAGTCTGGATAGAGTCTGGAAAACTCTGGATAAGTCTGGATAAAGTCTGGAAACGTCTGGAGAAGGCTTGGAAACTTCTTGAAAGGGTCGGAAACATTCTGGAAAAGGTCCCAAAAGACCTGGGGATCATTTTCTAGAATTCGGAGCAGTCTGGATAAGGGCTGGATAAAGTCTGTAAAACTCTGGATAAGTCTGGATATTGTCGGGAAATCTCTTGAAACGTCTGGAAAAGCCCTGGAAACTTCTTGAAAGGGTCGGACAAATTCTGGAAAAGGTCCCAAAAGACCTGGGGATCATTTTCCAGAATCTGGATCAGTCTATACAAGTATGGATAAATCTGGATAAAATCTGGAAAACTCTGGAAAGCTCTGAATAAGTCTGGATAATGTCTGCAAAAGTCTGGAGATCTCTGGAACGAATTCAGGAATGACACACTCAGTGTGAGTGTGATACCGGTGCGGTTCGACGCACTAGCCATTCATAAATGATTAATGGTGCGCGTACTCTGTGCCGTTCAGAAAATACTTCGGGCACACTCCAGGTGTCGCACCGGTCACACCATAATTTTTTGATTGTGTCTTTATGTCAACAATGTTAACCATTCCTCCCATAATCTCGATAATCCCACAAAATATAAACAAAACACAAATAAGAATTAAAGTTTTTTCTTCAAAATAAAAATATGAACAACAAAATAACACATCGAACTAAAAAGTGAAAAATAAATATAGTTTAAAAAAACTAAAAAACACGCTTTTATAGTAAATTGAACTAAAAAGTGAAAAATAATTTTTAATATAAACAGAAAATATTAATGAACAAAAAATATTAGAATTATTGTGAAAAAAGCGTGGGGTGCTTAATGTACGAGAAATGTAGAAAAAAGCACCCCACGCTTTTTTCACAATAATTCTAATATTTTTTGTTCATTAATATTTTCTGTTTATATTAAAAATTATTTTTCACTTTTTAGTTCAATTTACTATAAAAGCGTGTTTTTTAGTTTTTTTAAACTATATTTATTTTATTTGTTTATCGATATTAACGAAACTTGGTGGGTTTGATATTCTAACCAAACGCCATTTTTATGCATCTAAAGCAAGTTTTCCGGACTTCCGGTCCCACCGAAAATGACCGAAACTTTTGAGTTTTAAATGGCACACCCTGTATATTTTTTGTTTTTCAGATTCTACTGAGCGTTTTACGTCCTAATGCATCACCTTTGGATCCACTTTTTTCCAAATTTTGTTTTTAAATTGAATTTTAATTTTGTAACTAGAGAACCATGATCATCCCAAAATGACTCTACATACTTCACTTAATTTCAGAAAAATACAAACTTAATTTTATCTTTGTAAACTTTTTTCATAGAGAACTGTAAACTTCATTATTTTACTTTTTTTGCACTTGCTCAAAAACTGGAATAGAAACATATAACTTTCATAACATTACTAAATGCAGTATTTTGAAGCGAATCCAACAACACAACAACAAAACTAGATTTAAAAGTGGTACATTAAAAGTGAGACGATCTGTAGAATCTGAAAAACAAAAAATATACCAGGGTGTGCCATTTGGAAATTAAAAGTTTCGATAATTTTCGGTGAATTCGGAAGTCAGTAAAACTTGTCTTGGATGTACAAAAATGGCGTTTTGATAGAATATTAAACCTAGCAAGTTTCGCTGATATCGATAAACAACATGGCAGCCGGAAAGTAATCTCGGGGGCACCCGGTATAATAAAAATAAATAATAATAATAATAACATATTACATACAATCTGATGTGGGTACAAGCATGATTTAATACACACTCAAAAAAAGGATGTTAATGTCCGACTGGTACATTTTTTGATAAATAATGAATAATGACATTATGTCAAAGTCAGTTGAATACAAAATAATTCCCTAGAGCGTTATGACTATTTTAATAACCTACGTTATGACTTTTTTCCATGTGAATGCTAGTACTTGACTTGTTTTAGATTAATTTATTCAAAATTCATTCAAAATTTTCTCATATAAAAAATAATTAGTCAGACATTAAACGTTGAAGGCACCACGGGTATTAAGGCCGCGTTAATGGCCGCCATGTTTAAATTTCGTTTTGTTTTTGAAAATGACGACTGCGCCACTCAATACATACAGTTCAATATTTTATTTTTTGTCCAAAACAAAATCTGTTTGTTGGTGAAACACTTAGTGACAGAGAAAGACAAATATACAATTATGATGCTCCCAATGTAGCTTTTTTGCCGTGGCGCCATTTACTTGAAATTGCTTGAACTGTTTTCACTTTCAAAATTCGTTTTAAGATCATCTCAAAAAATCCGCAATAATTTCCAAAATCCTTTGGCATAAACATTATTTGATATATTATCTACAATCTCTACAATTAACTTTTTTTAGTTTTTCGTGGTTATCAATAAAATATGCTTTTCACGGATCCAAGCTTGATAAACATGCAAATATGCAACCACCAACACATTTAGTTGTTTTGGTGGTTGCAAACATGATTTTTGAATTTAAAAAAAAAAAGGCAGAATATCGAAAAACTAAAATAAGGAATTGTAGATAATCGATCAAATAATGTTTATGCCAAATTTGAGCCAATTCTGAAGTGCCGTTTTTTCAAAGACCTTAAAACAAGTTTCGAAAAATCAACCAATCAGACCACTGCATTCTCATCGTTGTTGCGGCCTTAAGGATAATACTCTTGATACCTTAATAACTATCAAATTATACTTAATGTCTGCCCAGCGAGTCTGTGTCTACGGGGCAACGGTAAGGGGAATGCAGTTGTAAAAAAAAATGGCTGATTTCATTCATAAAATACCCAGCTGCGTGCGGAACTTTTTGGAAGTGTTATCGTATTGCAACTCGTTCATGAAAATCAGCAATGACAAATCTCCGCCACTGGATATGTCAATATAAATCGATATTTCAAAATGGGAGGATAAAATGACGTGAGCCCTGGCCAATAGCGAGACGTAAGGTGACGTTAGCTCATTGACAACCGTATGGTTCCCCATGGCAACGGCGATTCTGCCAAAAATTCCACCAATCAGGTTCATCCAGGACGGATGCTTGCCAAATTGTCAAAAGCTGATGGTATCTTTAGAAAATGTTTATTTTTTACAATAGACCAAACTGAAGAAATCAGAAATCAGGATTAAAATAAGGATAGGTCTAACAACCACGTTATAGTATTTTACATTATTAGCCAGGTAAAACAGTTTTTACTGGCGATTGAAGGAAATGACTAGCGAGCCGCCAGGCGAGCTTGTCACCTTCAAGAGCCAGTAAAAACTGCTACCTGGCGTATAATGTACAATAATTTATTTGTTACTCATTTGTAAAAGATTGTTGCGGAAATAACCCACAACAAGTTTAAAATGTTATTATTTGTAGTTTATCAATATAATCTCAATTTCTATTATTTATCATAAAAATAATATTCTAAAAAAAGAATCCTGTAAAACTGGCAACAGCAGCCCTTTTGAATCGGTAAAATTACAGATTTCTTCATTACCCTATGAGCAATGGATCTATTTTGTTGTTGTGATTGGTCAGTTGCCACCCAACATCCCTGATTTATGCGACCTGCTCCGAAAAAGGCAGTCGACTCGACGCACGGTACACAACAGTAGTAATCAAGAAGCAGAAGAGTAAGCAAAGACTCTGCACCCTCTCGCCTCTGAACGCTCTACAGAGGAAAAAAACCCCCAGAAAACCCCCGTTAGTACGCGAATTATAGTAAAATACTACTCCCAGTGTCTCAAGGCCTGACATGGCCTATATTATCAACGATATTATTGATTACAATTCATGTAATTAACCCCTAAATTGTTGCAAGTCATCTCGGACCTAGCAAAATTCTCTACTACGCCTGTTTAAGGTTATTCCTGTCTCACTCTCGACGGGCTTCAACT